CAGAAAACTCTGGTTCCGATGACAAATTCCATTTTCTTCACGAGGCTAGTCGACGTTCCAACATGACTTGTTTGCAACTTTTCACAAAAGAGATTGAAGCTTCTCCTGGGGAATCTGCTGCATTGTCATTATTTTCACGATATGTGGGTGGTGAGAGTTCTCCAGTTTCCAGTGAAACCCAGGTTTGATTCTCCTGGTACAAGCTTGAAGTAGTGTCTCTATAGTTTGCTATATTGTTCTTACAGACTAACTTCTTATTCTAACTTCAGTTTCAGAATTATGTGAGGCGACTATGTGCATGGAGAGATGTGATGGTAAGTTAAAATTTGTAAATGCTTCTGAAACGTGGCTACAATTTAAGAATGGTTCTCCGACTTTAAAGATCAGTATACCTCGACTCTGTTTTAAGTTTAATTAAATGCTTGAAATAATTAGGAGACAGAGCAGAAGTTTATGCTATGTGGTCAAAGAGATTTCAGGATTCTCCATGAAATTTTGTTTGTATCTTATTACTACAATAGACAAAGTCAAAAGTGAACCTCAGAGTAATCTAATAATGAGGTAGGAAAGGGGTTTACCATGGTCAGCTGAGGTTGCCTTTGATATGCTAAAATTTATCTTAAATTTATTAAGAACAATCTGATAGTTAATTAGAGAAAATTTATGAATGTTGTTAATTAGTATATAAACAATTAGGCTTAAATTTCTCTTGTTACATTCTTTAGCCTCTGAAGAATATGGAAAACTAAGTAATATATTCATTGTAATTTTACATATGCTGATGTCTGCTTTTGGCTGAGCCATTAAGCCTCAATTAGTGTCACTGTCTGTATGTTTCCGTACCAAATACTTCTCTCAAGGAGTTTTGTCCCACATCAAATCCTTTTGATGCTACTTAGGTAGGGTATTAAAAAATAATATCTGAAATAATTTAATTGGCCTAGGCAGATTCACTTGCGCATCATGTAATGAATACATACATACATATACATATATATATTCTAAAACAAGGTCTGTTGATTGACTTGATCAATAGGGATAGCATCATCTTTTGCCACCACCCAGGCATAATCTCCATATCGTTTTTCTTGTATAACAGAAATAATATTTGATTTTGCTTTGACTGTGGAGTTCCTGGAATTTTACATGTATTTGACTTATTTTTATGAGAAAATATATTTATTTATTCATATAGTTACTTTGATATTTTATTTTGTGAAAAAACGTTACTTTGCTATTTCCAGGTTGCAGTGGTTGTGATATTAATCTTCTATTAGTGCATTAAGTTTTATTTCTCATGAAGAGGCTCATAATTCTTGAGTTCTATGTTTTAATGTAGAGTTTAAAGGTATTCCATAAGGAAATTGCATATAGGCTGATTGTTTTGTCGTATGTTCATCTTTACAGGCTCGTGTCCATGATGAGAGCTTGAAATATGTATTATCAGACCAGGCAATTGTTGCTTTGGCAAATAAGCCTCCAACAAGTGACTCTGAAATATGCAATGGCATAGCTCAGGCTGATATCAATATAGAAATGGGTGTCAATTCTCTCTTCTCTTCTCCATCTCCTATTGTTGGTAGCCACCTTAGTGATGTCTATGATTTACTTACAGACAATTTAGCTAACACTGAAGATATTTATTCAGTGATTCTTCAGAAGTGCCTTGGTCCAAATGGGAGTTGTCCCATTTCTCTATTTAATTATTCTTTGTTGGTTAGCAGTAATCCGAGACCTATGATAGCCTATAAACATCATAGTGTAAAAAACTCGAAACAAGTTTCTCGGAAGGCTTCTCGAGATTTGTTTGTTCAGAAATTCTCCTGTAAATCTCCTGTTTATCATAATTGTCGGATCTATGCTAATGACGGGCGGCTGCTTTGTTACTGTGATAGGAGGAAGCTTGAATGGTAAGTGCACTTTTCACTTGCTTCTGTTGTATTTGTAAAAGTGGGGGTTTTTTTTTTTTGGCAGATTAATGTTCTATTTTACAGGTATCTGAATCGGGATCTGGGAAAACTAATTGATGACGATCCACCTGCTATAATGCTTCTTTTTGAACCAAAAGGTCACCCAGAGGACGAAGACAATGATTTTTATATCCAGAGCAAGAAAAACATATGTGTTGGCTGTGGTGAAGGAAATCACTACTTGCGGTACCGGATAATCCCATCGTGCTATAGAATACATTTTCCTGAGCATTTGAAAAGCCATCGTTCTCATGATATTGTCCTGCTTTGTGTGGACTGTCATGAAGTTGCTCATGCTGCTGCAGAGAAATACAAGAGAAAGATAGCAGCTGAATTTGGGATTCCTCTCTATGTTCAGAGGGTAATCGATCCAGGACAAGCATCTGAAGTAGCCTTTGAAGAGGGAGGTGTTTCTCCCTTACAGTTGCGAACAGCAGCCATGGCTCTTCTGCACCATGGACCAAGAATGCCTCCCAATCGCCGTGATGAACTGACTGAGGTATGATCTTATTTCTGTCTGTAAGTGTTCAGTAAGATTCGTGTTTGTCACAGACCTGACATGATGGCACATGGTCTTTGAAGTGTTCAAACATGCGCTCTAAATTGGATTATCTTTTTTCCTGGATTTCTATAGTTAAGAACTGATTGTCATTGTTTGCAAAAGTTCTTGAGCAGCTTTTTTAAGTCTAATCCATAAGCATTGGTATTTGTCATATTTGTGATTTTGTTTGAAGACTGTGAAGAGGTACTATGGAGGGAGGGACATATCTGAAGAAGATTTAGAGAGAGCTTTGCTAGTTGGCATGAGTCCACATGAGAGAAGACGATTTGAGAAGAAGAGAGGATATTCATTTAAGCATTCAGTAAGAGGTACTGCTGTGGAGACAGTATATGAAAATCAAGGTGATTGCACGCCCACAATTGGGGTTGGGGACACATCAAATTTTAATGCTCTAGATGGTTCATCTGCAAATAAAGCAATAAGCAATGGATTAGGTAGAGAACTTATTATAGTAAAGGATGATGTCAGAAACCGCACAGTATCTTCTGATCTAGGAGTTAATGGAGCTGAACATGCAAGTGCTGATAAAAATTCAGATTCTAATGACCTAAGTGCTGCTGTAAATGCTGATGACAGTTGTCTAAGCGAAAGGGCTCCAAATGGAAGCGATGACTTATCTTTTAGAGATGAAGAGTCCGCTCAAGTGAAACATAATTCAAAGCTGTCACTCTTAGGACACGGACCACATGGGAAGCAAGTTGTTGAACATTTATTGAAGGAATACGGCGAGGACGGCATTCGTCAGTTTTGTCAGAGATGGAGACAAGTTTTTGTTGAAGCTGTCAAACCACGGTTTCTACCTGCTGGCTGGGACATAAATCACAGGTATGCTAATGATTAGATAGTGTTTGTTTGCTTAGTTAGTAGCATAAATTGTTGATGTGGCATAATTGATGCATGCTGAGCATTTAGTTAATTAGTTCAAAGTATGGAGCTTCTGGAAAACCAAAAAGGTTCAGAGTATTGAGGTTTATCTGCCTCATCGTGCAATTGTGGGAATATACAATATGCTAAAACTCAGAAACTACCCTGTTGCTGTTGAAAATGTTTCTGACTTGATTGTTTTGTTCTTATAAAATTCTAAAACTCAGAAACTTCCTTAGTTTACTATTCGACTGCCATTAGATTGTTATTCATGCTGCACTTATAGTATGATGTGTAGCAACTGAATTATTATTAACCCTTTGTTCCAAGGATTTGATTACGGACAAAATATATTTGCCAGTGGTAGAAGGGATTTCGGTGAATTCAGTGTCTACAATCTGCTCAGACAGGGATCTGCTGCTATTGCTACTCGCAAGTGACTACCTGGAGCTGCAGGTTGCAACGAGCTTATTTGCGGGACCTCTGATCTGATGCTATTATTCCTTCAGATTTGTTCCTCCACGTCCTTTCTGTCTTGGGTTATTTTAAAGGTGGACTATTGAAATATGATGATAGTTATACAAATTTCTGTCTAAATTTTGTGCTGATAAAAATTGGAGATGGAAACATCGAAACAGGCCAAACTGAGTTCGGCTTTAGCCATTTTCATTTTTAGGCTCGGCATCTTGAATAGGCAATACTCAAATTCTGCCCATTTAATTAAAATAGAATTTGGGTTCAATCCGTTTGTACTTCTTATATTAAACTGTCCATAAATATACATGCTTAATGGGTTGGATGAGATTTCATAGTACTCAAAATATATTAAAACAACATTATAGTATATAAATCATGGATTGATATATAATTATATATGCACGTGTATCTATATATTATTTCATTGTTCTGGGTAATAATATATTGTTTCTAATCGTTAATCACATTGATATTGATTCATTTGGAAACTATGCTTTGAGCAATCAATCTCATTATATAATATCTTTTTTTTTCTTTTGTAAATCTTATTTATTAAACGGACTTATGGCAGGGGAATAGGGGAAGGGAGCGTAAATCGTGCCTCCCCTCCTCTCTAATATGTCAACCAAATGAGAGGTCCAAAAACCCCAACCAAACACACCCTGGATTAGAAGGCTTTAAAAAAAAAAAAAAACTATGGAAGTTTATGTTAAAACTGGTAATTGCTTGTTCTGTTGCATTCCCAAACAGTAAACACCTTCGGAAAGTATATTCACGATTAAACACATCCAGATAGACCATAGGAGGTAGCATTTTGCCTCTTTGCTTTCAAATCAGATTTATGTGCTAAATCCAACGACCATTCAATCCAAATTCCAAATCTAATAATCGCATATAAACAATCATCAAGGCCATAAATGAACTTGAGGGGAAAAGCTTGGCATAAAATTCAAAATTGGGACTCCTGTAATTTTATTATTGATTTCAGACTCTCAGTCCTATCTGAGTAAATTTTTTTTTCCCACATAATTCCAAGTACCAAGAAGGAACGGACATCTACAAATCTAGACTGCTCTGCGTTGTACAACACAATTGCCTCAACTTTTCAACAGAAGGAACAATTACAATTAATTAGCAGCAACAACGTCATTGATAAAAGAATCGGCGATGAGATGGGGCGAATTCAGGGCTAGATTGGAAGGAGCAGCGGTAACAAACAACACGTACTTGGCGGCGGCGAGCTTCTTCCGTTGCGGGCAACGTGGACCGTAGGTCCTCCCGGCAAAGCAAGGGGAGCCCTCGGCAACGTTGACCTGAGACTGAGCATCGGTTGAACGCGGGGACGACGGCGTTGAGGGGGGGCGAAGAGAGATCTGGCAGAGCAAGCTAAGGCGGTGCGATCGAGCAGTAATTCGGGAGTCACGGATGCGGGCGAGGGCTCCGGGTTTAAGGTACTTGTGAAAATGATGAGCTCTGGGCAACTGAAGACCTCTAGTTCTGATCATTGTAGAGAAAGAAGGACTAAAATTGAGAAGTGAGAGAGCAAGAGAGAGAGAGAGAGGAAGAATGAGATGAGGGAGGGAGATGGGGTTGGGGGATCTTAATAGATAGAGGCGGGAAAACATGTGGAGGGAGAGGGATGAGTGAAGCCATGTGACTTTGTGAGATGGGATTTTGTTTCGAAACTGGGGAGAGGCGCGGGAGGGAAAAGGACAGAGACAAACCAAATAGGGTTTTGCAAAACGTGACGCGTGTCGTTTGGGCCCATTGCCAAAACTCTTTTTTCACACTATTGAAATCAACTCGCTCGGTTCATTTCAAAAAAAAAAAAAAAATCTGAGCAGGTTTTTCTTATTAAAAAAAAAAGAGTCAATCTTATTAATTACAAAAAAAAAAAAATACATACACTAATGACCAAAACAAAAAAATGCTCAAAAAAACTTACTGATACAACCTAACACACTAAAGCATGTTAAAAGAAAAACACAATATCCAGTTTAACAGAAATTAAAAAAACCAATTCAAGTAAACCAAATATCCAACTGAAAAAACGAAACAAAACAGTAATTTATTTTGATTGAATTAATAAAATATTTTGTTTATGATTGATTTGATCATGATCTTGACCATTGAGTTTAAATCAGTGTTTTACTAAATTAATGATTGATCCCGTTTTTAATATTTTGCTATTTTTGCCCATTTTCTCTGTTGCTCGCCATCACACCCCATCAAATCTTATCAAATTAATTATATAAATTAACTTTAATTTAGCCTCTAATCATTCATAGTCATTCTCGGATTTTTCAACTGCACGCATTGCTTTCAGCCAACAAGGATTAAAAAACGACTGCATCCCAAAAAGTGTTTTTTTAATTAAAAAAAAGCCATATAGCATCGTTCTTCTCTGTTTTTTTTCCCCTTCCTTTTTTATAATCATATATGATAATATTATAAGGTCACATAATCACTTCTAAGTATTAATATTAGTTCTACTTGAGATATCTGGTTTTTAATTTTTATATGACAAAAGTCTACTTTAAAATCAGACTATTTATTAGATTTGATAAAAACATATTTTAAATGTAGTTTGAATAAATTTTTGAGGGATACCCAAATAATGATTTTTTCACGCACAAGGTTTAAATCTTACCTTGTTTAAGGGGGGTTGAGTTCCCTCGACTTAATTTAATTACTATTGTTTTTTCACATATAAAAATATAGTCATTATACAACATAGATACGAATTCAATTGCTTCTGCTGTTGTTTTATTGCACTTCTTTGATCGAGATGAAATAATAAAATTTTTAAATATTTATATGCGCACCAAAATATATTTATGGGCGGCTCTAGTTAAATGAATGAATAAATTAATTTGATCAAATTTTAGATTATACAAGGATTTGTTGGGCAAGACAGAATTATCCTGATGAGCTGGGACCAAAAAGGGCAAACTAAAAAAGGCTTGCTTTGGTGCAATGAAGAAAGACCAAATTCCATCGAAATTATCCTCCCAAACCTTTCTCAAATTGGATAATTATTTTTAACTACATGTTTAAAAAAGTTAATAAACGTGCAGATTGACTTATTTATTAGATGCCAGATGACAACCTTATATTTTAATTTTTGACGATTCACCTTCAGGTGCCAAATCATCACGAGACAAGACATGTTTTGATTTCTTTTTTTTTTGAATGGTTATTTGTGGCCATGTTTTCAAGGGAAAAAGAAGGAAAAGAAGAAACCCTTTGGAATTTAAGAATTTTCATGGGAAGATATTTTCTGTGATCGAAATACCCTCATGCTGGGATCAAATTCTCATAATGCATTATAGGATGGGTTGCTAATAGTCATGGGCCTATTTGGGCACTGCACATACATTCTCTAACCCCGTTTTTTTTTTTTTGTGGTCAAGTTTGTCTTCTCTCTTGTTGTCCATGGAATGGAAAAGCAAGACTCCACTCAATATAGAAAAAATTCAACAAACAAATATTGAACTCACCGTCTAATGTCGTTGTGATCTTGATCGAGAAAAATCATCTTTTCCTCATAATTAATGTACTTTTCACTCACTCCATAATCCACAAAAAATTACAAAAAACAAAACTGTCTGTCATTAGCGATTGCTCTTAAAGTTGAATCATATATTGAGCCTTTAAAAATCTCTGTTTCGGAACCTCCTCCTTTTTTATTGGCCTAGGTCATGACTCAATCTTTTTGCAGATGGAACTCTCTCAATTACTCTAACCACGGTGGCATAGGAGGGATTGTTTTGTGTATTGGCTAATTTAATAATTGGTAGAAGTTACCTTAGAAAAAATTGCATAAGCAAAGAGGGTTTAATGAAAGAAATTAATCCCTCATATCGTAAAAAACTAAATTTTAAATCTCTGTTAAAGAGGTGTTCATATTTAATGTTCACTCATATAATACGATTGCTTTTAAATTAGAAAATTCCTAAATTCCTATAACCAATAAAAGAAAATCACATCAAAAAGTTTACATGTCCATGAGAACATTAGAGAAGTGAGTAATGTTTTTCAAATTAAAGAGAAGAAAAACGGTTGCCAGAACAAAGAAGGGTTCAATTTTGAAGAACGCAGAAACCATGAACCTATTGAAAGTCACAAGGGCCCCTTTTACATTTCTCTACTAGTCAAGAGTTGGAGCTAGTTCATCATTGACGAGGAGCCAGTACAAATATACTCCATCCTACATTAAACAAAAACAGAAAAAAGATTGTCATTGTTCACAAGAGAGTCAGATTTTCTGTGACTAGTTATCGCACACTACTTCATTGACTGATATCCTCTGGGATGCTATCTAAAGCTGGCCTCCAAGCATTCATGGCTCCATCATCATCTCCAGTAACCTCACAGATTCTGCTTCCTCCCAGTTTCACAGAACTCAGTAATTGCTCAAGAGAAGTTTGCTGAGTATCATTCTCAGAGCTCAATATCCTCTTTAACTCTTCCTGAGTCACCACCAATCTTATCCTCACAGACCCACTTCTGCTGCGAATCTGTTTACCATTTCTTTCTTCATCTTTATTCTGTAATTCAAAACTTACCTTCTTATGCTTCTTCTTCTTCTTCATGCTCTCTTCATGCATTGCTGCTGCAGGTTCAGACTTGAACGAGGAATCAGATGTCTTCATTTGCTCAACTACTGCGTCATCGTAGATGTCATCGTCGTGTGCTGATATCTGGTTGTTTCTGATCAAACAGTTTCCCATGTGTGAGTGATGAAGAAAATGATGATGATGGATGAATTGAACGTAACAAGAGAAGGAGAGGAACATAATAAATACAGAAGAAGCACATGGATTATCCTGCTGTTGCGCCGGGCATATTTGAAATAAACAAAAGGGAGATTCTTTCTCGCACGAGACCACCACCACCTTGCATCGAGACTTTTAATTTGATACCCTTCTTGTTTTTTAGTCCCCATCACTTTTTTCATTATTTTACTTTGTATTAGCCGTCTGCTGGCTTTTCCACCAAGTTCTTGTATGGAGACCGTTTTTATTCTTTTATGGAAACTGTATCTTCTGTCCGCGTACCATGTCATTATTAATGAATAAGTTAACAGCAAATACTTCCTTTACAATACTTAATATAAGACGAGTTAAGTTAGTTATGACTTTAAAATTATAAAATAAAAATATGAAAATTTTCAATTTTATTCTTTTTTGTACTTAATAATCATAATAAATTATTATCTAAAAATTCAAACAACAAACAAATAAGGGGTAAAAATTAAAAAAAGAATTACCTACTCTAACTTCGTCTTTTATTAAGAACAAAAAAAAAACTTCGTTTTCTGTAGAGTCGGGAATTCAGGCGGGTCGGGCCCGAATAAGTCTGAACCGGAACAAGCCCGACTCCTCGAAAAGCCCGAATAGCCAAGCCCGGCCCAAATTCCTTCGGGCTTTGGGAAGCCCGAATACTCGAATTTAATTTTTAAAATTATTTTTAATTATTTTTTTACTTTGAAATTAATTATTTTATTTTATAAAAAATATAAAATATATTTTTTTAATATTTAAATGATGTCTAGAACTCAAATATATGGTATTTTAGTATAAAATGATCTAAAATTTAAAGAATTAATTAATATTTATTATATTATATATTTTTAAAAAATATAATTTTTTTATTCGGGTATTCGGGCCGGTCCGGATAGGCCCGAACATTAAAAAATACCTTTTTTCTAAGCCCGGTCCTAAAATTTTTCGAGCCAATTTGGGCTAGCCCGTCGGGCTTGGCCCGAATTACCGGCTCTAGTTTTATGTTAAGGATTTTAAAATGGTGTAATTTTCTCAAAATCTTGCTTAAATTTTTTCTTGGTGTACTAATTGGTAATAACGAGGGATATATTTTACTCTATATAATTTACAATGCAAGCATATAAGAAACACAGATATTGAACCGACATATGAAATTTCAATTCCCTATAAAAACCGAGTTAAATTGATGTTAGTGGAGAAAGTTGCATATTTGGAAATTACTGTATCATTGTCAAGAGATTAATAATAAATACGAGAATATAGTCCAAGTAAGCGTGTTTGATTAATATCCCGAATTAAAGGTGTAGTATAGAATAAAGATAATAAAGGCCTCTAATCACTGCTCAAAAAGCGGTTCGTCTCCCTCAGCACCAGTACATGGCAAAATTATGCGTTGATTGGATGACAAAGTTTTATCACTTTCTTCTCTTATCCCCTTCACATTTTAATTAGCAGGGATGTCGTTCATAAGTCAATCTGTATATTGTGTGTCCAAGTGTCTTGTAACTTAATTTCGCCATATTATATGTGCGTGCCGTTGCTTTTTGACTGATATGGAGCATTCTTTAGTGTGATCGTAACGCTAGCTAGCTCTTGGTTTTGAGTAATGCTTATCTTGATTTGCGTTGCACGTAGCTATGTGAAGATCGAAGCTTGTTCTTTACACTCCCACATATGATCCGAATGTAGACTCTTCAACGTTGGAGTGGATTTCAGTTAACTTGGTCAACTCCTATATATTTCAAGGTTTCGTAGCATGCCAAAGTAACAAAAAGAGACGTATATATGTTATATCAGATTGATTAATTCGATTCCAAAAGTTTGTTTTAATTTTCCTCATGTGATCAATCATAATCTAAAAGTGAACATTTGTGATGTTTTGTGACCTTAGCATTTATGATCTGATCCTTGATAGAATGTTAATCAAATTTCAATTTGATCTCTACTGAGGATATATAGCAAATATTTTATCCCAGTCAAAATGATTAATGATCGCCCTTTAAGAAATATTGGCATGTTCTCTACAGATCACACAAACCTATAGATCCTCTTTGAGATTATTTTATAAGTTGAGTTGGTTGAAACGTAACTGTGAGGATATACAAAATTAAAAGTAAGTTGTGCAATGAATGTGGTCATAATAATTAAAATATAAGGGCAAGAGAAAATTGTGTGAATGGCAATATAAGGCATCAAAATGTATAGTTATTTGGTGGCAGAGGCTTTCCGCGTGGAAAACGCGCCATTGCTTCACAAGCCATTTCGCGTTTCTTTCCATTAACTTCATCTTCCACAAATAATTCAACCTTCTTATTTTATCTCCGTTGATTGTAATCATTTAATTTGAAGAATACCCGTACTCTATTACATGATTGCAGAATATAATGTTATTTCCATAAAAAGAGAATTACTTGGATAAGAAGAGAATACACACACTACATGTATTTAAAATATAAGCAATTAGTATTCATCATTAATGCGTTTAATTTGAACTATTTTTTGATTGTCAAAGCAATAATGACGTGGCACTTTAGAGTGTTTGATAATTTGTTTATAAAGCAAAATTAGGTTCAATCGATGTAGTATGTTATTTTTTCCCAAGATTGAGATTTGAGAACAAGTAATTAACCGGTTTGAATATTTGAACACATAAACTAATCGCCCATAATGTTTTGCCTTGTCAAAACATGATTATGTCTTAATTTCACTTTTTTTTTTTCAATTTCAATCTGAATCTCTTCAAGTTTTAGTACTCTGCATTATATATAAATTTTGCCTTATAGATAAAAAAATAAACGTAAAATCTTACTACTTTTGCCATAAACTTTATCAATTTCATAGGCGCAATTTCATTATCCAAAATTGTTTTTATGTTTTATTAATGCATGGATAAGGGTCAGAATCAATTATAGAAGCTAAAACCATGATTTTTTCTTTCAAGATATACCCAAACACTTCTGTTATATATTAAAATCAATTATAAATGTAAAATCATATTTTTCAAAAAATATCCACACATTCATTATACGTGACAAAATTAATTATGAACTTGAAATCATGATTTTATTAAAAATATCAAAACAGGCCCATTTGGATATCTGTTAGAAAAATTGATTATTATGATTAATTTTAAATATAATTTATTATATTATGTGATGTATAATTGATTTATAAAATTGATTAAACCATTAATCATTTCATCTCTCTCTCTGTTTTTTTTTTTTGTAAGATGGAAAGCTTCGTTTCATGTCTACCCGAATTTAATACGCCCCTGCGGGCTGAGCCCACCATTATCCTACAATCATTGTTTTAAAATAAAAAAATCTTTCTTTCTTACGGGCTAAATTCCATGTGCTGGTGATTATGGGCTTCTTTCAATCAAACTTGTAAGTGTTCAAAAAAGAACAGAACAAATAATGTAATGTCTCATTCAATGGGTGCTTCTTACTGAAGGCCCAAGCCTATCGTTTGGGGTGGGTCCGAAGGGAATAGGAGTTGTCTCGCTTTTTCGCCTTTATTGGGGTTCAAAACTTTTCTATTTCTTAAAAAAAAAAAAATTGTCTATTTTAAGATTTTAGACCAACGATTTCGAGGAAGCAAAAACTGTATGAATACTCACTTAACTTGATTATTGTATTTCACGACAGGCAATGGGAATATATATACTCGTATTTATTATATGGAGTTGGTTGTTGGTTGTTGGTTGTACTCTTTTTATTAAAAAATATAAAATAATTTTTTTTAGTGGTTGAATGTTAAAAAATTAAAATATTTTTAATATTTCAATATTTAATTAGTGTATTTTTAAAATATTTTTAATAAATAAATTATCTTATTATTTATTTTTAAGTTAAATGTCTTATTAAATAAAAAAAACAAAAAGATAATATCATTTTAAAAATAATTAACTAATTTGTTGAAAGGTAAGTTTCCATTAAAAAAAACCTTTCATGTTTTTTTGACAATGAAAATAGTATATACCTAGATGTAATTAGTCGGTTGAATTTAAATTCACACCAACTTTTTTTTGGTCCATTTCTTGTTTAAAAAAAAAAATACTGAGCAAGCAAATTTTTCGTTTTGTCCATTCCTGTTCCGAATGGCTTGCCAGCAAAGCAATCTGCCAATCACAGTGGCTGCGGCGTGCTGCCATCAATGAACACGAACACGTCTGGGAACTCAATTCTCTTTCTTACTTTATTGGTTTTGATTTTTTTGGGTAATGACTTGCCAGAAAATTTTATTCTTGCGCACTCAGACATGCAAATGCGTCTCCCTCCAAAGATACATCTACGTTGAGATTTTTATTAAGTAAAAACTAATTTAATATTTTTAATGTACATGGCTAATTAAGCACAATAATTTCTATTAAATTTTAACTAGTTAAGCACGATTTAATAAATATGCTTCAAAAATAATTTATTATGCACACGTCAATCCATTTGGAGAGTAATATATCCTGGAGGATATAAAGAAGAGAAGAAATGAATACCTTGATTACTCGATCGAATAAAGCCTGGTGATAATAATGATATAAGAGTTAATTAATCGATTATAATAAACATAATTAAATAGTTTACTTTAAAAAATATTAAATATTTACATCCTAAAATAAAATAGATACCGACGACACAAGCTAGGGGTCACTAGTCTGAGATACAGCTTATGCATATATAATATTCATTCTCGGGTTCTACATTACATATTTCAAATATATAATATTCACTCTCCATTTCTACATTACATATTTTAAATATATAAATGATACTTCCTCTAATCTCATTTATAAATCACATTTTAAAAAATTTATTTAATTTTATTTATAAGTTATAGTGCATCTTTTTAAATAATATTTAAAAAATATTTTTAAAATTATCTTTCATAAAAAATGAAAAATAACATAGCATCATGTTTTAAATTTATTATGTACGGATATATTTAAAATTTTATATACTTTTATTTTTTATTTTTTTTTACATTAATATTAATAAAGTTGGTATAAATAATTTATAAAAGAAACAACGACCGCAATATCTCACGATGTGCTCGGAGGGGAAAGGGGTGATAGGGGAAGTCTTGTGTGCAAGCTAAATAAT